TTTAAATCACTGATAATCACTCAGCACTTCCCAAAGAAAAACTCTATTGTTATAAAAGGCAAGAGATAGTCAGACACCCTCATTTTTTTGTTCTTTAATCCTATGATGGAGAGAAACACAAAACTCCAAAGTACAATACAAAACACTAGCTATTCTTTGCCACCCAGGTCTCACCCAGGTCTCAAGTTCTGAAAAACCACTAGAATAATATTTTCACCTGCTGCATGCTTCTCCTTTTTAGAGCTTAGATCTATGAAGAATTTGCATCTTCAGTACCACTATGATTACTGAAGGTAAAAAAGGGTCATGTTCAAGAGAAAGCCCTCAAGTCTATTGCCAGGTTCAAAACCTACACAACTTCTTAGCTTTGGACCTTAGAAAAGTTACCCAACTCTAAAACACAGAAAAATAAGAGTATTCATCTCACAGGACAGCAGTAAGGACTAATGAGACAATGTAGACACTTAGCATAGGGCCAGATACTTGGTAAGTGCTCAATAACCAAAAGCACATCATCTCCAAAAAGTCTCATGAATACTACAGGCTCAACTACAGAAATATAAATACACTGACCTCATTTTTTTTTTGGGGGGGGGGAGTGTCACCCAACAGGATAAAACCCCAGAGTAAGGGCTTTATGGGATGTCACACAACTTGCCCAACTTGACTGAAAGGTCAGAGAGGAAAGGGGCTAGATTCTTAGTTTTATCTTGGTCTCCTCTGTATCCATTCACAGTACCATGAACTAAAACTAATCCACTCCCCACTCATGTGTTTGAAACACAAAATACCCGGGTTTCTCCCAGCTCTAGGACATGGTTCCATCTTTGGGATCTCACCCCTACATAAACCCCCCTGAAGAGCAGCTTATAGATTCAAAGTTCCCCCACCTGAAATTCCGATGAAAAACTCTGTACCTAAAAGTTGGTCACCACCACCCAGGAGGAAACTATTAAAATTGTACCTGTGATGTTCGGAATAGGCAAATTTATTGCCTGAAAATACATCAGTGATTGACAAGGGCTGGGGACAGAGGTAGGGAGGAGCTGGGAGAAAATGGAGAATGACTGATGCCCAATGGGAATCAGATTTCTTTTGGGATGATGGAAATGTTCTAAGATTGATCGTAGGGATGACTGTACAATTCTGTAAATGTACTAAAAACCTCTGAATTGGATTCTCTAAGTCGGTGAACTATATGGTAGGGTGAATTATACCTTTAAAGAGTTGATATTTTTAAATTTTGAATTTTTGCCCCACCTTAGACTATCAGAATAAGGGTATTCATTCTATCTGAGAAAGCAGAAGCCAAATTTACAGCAACAAGTCCAAAAGCCAACTCTCAAGATAGAAAAAAACAGTTCCTAAAAACCCATACCACCCCTCAAAACTAACGGCCTAATTCACTTTCATTTCTATGAACCCACATTTGGTTTGTCACTGGGTCCATGAGACCAGCCATAAAGTCCATTCCTGCGAGGCAGGAGAGTCAAGAGGCACCCAGCCTAGCCACTGAGGGGGCATGTTAATCTAGCAAGAAGACTGAAAATTCAAGTTACCAAAACGTTATTTGGAACAGAAAGTATGTTGGGAAACTTACTCTTTTTTCTTTTTTTTTTTTTTAACTTGTGGAACTTTTTTTGGCATAACATTATACAAATAGGATTACCAGGATTCTTCCCACCAGAGGTTAACACATACACAACTGTGTAAATTACGAAGAAGGCATAAGCCTAACTCCCTGCACCCAAACCAAAAACTGTACTTCTGCTCTTACTTTTGCTCTGAGTCTTGACAACCTTGAAAGCTGGCAGATGATTATAGTTACCAACAAGTGAGTAGTGCTATGCACCAGGCTCCAAGCTAAGTGTTTTCTTTACAAGGACTGATTCATTTAGTCCTCACAACACTAGAAAGTCAGGGTGGCTACTACCTGGAGAGACTCAGGTTCAGTGACTTGTCCTAAGTCTACCAGTAAGTGGTGGGTTTAAGATTCAAACCCAGGAAATGTTAAAACTTAATTCTACAAGTCTGAACTTCATCTCCAACTTCTATCATCTCTACAGAAAAACAGAAAGTCTTGAACATACAAAATCCTCCCGAATGAAACACCTGATCACCAGGGCAAGGAATGAGTTCTGGGCATATGACAGCCACAGAAAAGACCTGGACGAATCAGGAAAGAGAAAACTGACAGCGTTAGGTTGCAAATATTTTATCATTTATCTTCTATGTATCCAGACCAGAGGCTTGGGCTTCCAAGGCAAAACTTCATGGGGGGTTATTTGTTTATCAGATTCTCAAGGGGACTCAAGAGACAACTGACCTAGACAATAGTTTTGCTTCAAGTTTAAGTGCATAGGCTTTGGAATCAGATAGCTCCGGTTCAAATATACTTAACCACTTTGTTACTTTAAGCAGGTTACTGACCTCTCTGATTGATCTTCAGTTTCTTCAGACATAAAATGAAAGTAATAATAACCATATCAAGCTGAACTTTGGTAATCCCAAAAGGCTAGTTTTACTGCCTCAGATTATCACACAAAGGAAATCTAAACCCAAAGGTCTATGAATACTAATTATAAAATAAAACCATAAAATTTTATAGCTCAAAGAGACTGTAAATTATCTAAACCAGGGTATTTTACATAATTATGTATTTATTTCGTGTAATTAGTTTTAAAAACACTGGCTTTACATTTTCAGTAATGAAAAGGACGAACAGAAGAAAAATAATACACAAATACTAAGACAGTAATACACACTGTAGCAAGCACCTAATGATAATGGAATGCCTGAAATCTGGGAAAGAGTGATCACCTCCACTCTTTCCACTGAAGAGGTCACACATGACCTACTCAGGTAATAGTAGCTGTCAGAGTATTGTTAATACATACAACTAGATATAAACAGATTAGAACATTTAGTTCCTTACTAATCTTTCCCCCAAGTTACAGGGCTGCTCCATTCCATTAGACAACTTAAATAATTCTTAAGCCCTATCACTGCATTATTTCCCCCCACCCAAGGAATTCTTAGCCCTATCCAAAAAAAAAAAAAAAAATAGTAGCAGGCAAATAAATTCCCAGTCACACAAATGTACCCTACTCATACTCAAGACAGATATACAAATGCAGTTCCAAATTCTAGCAGGCTTGGTCCAGGGGGTCCACTCTGGGTAAGCAGGATGAGAGAGGATTAAGAGCTCTGTGTTAGCAGGAACTCCGACTCTGGCTCAGACCATGCAGGGGTGCAAGATTAGGTCCCACTGCTGGAGCTGTGTGGCTCTGGACTAGTGACTTCATCAAGCCTGTGTGTAAAATGAATAACATGAGATAATTCACCGGCAAGGAGTCAGTCTCTGTTGCCAAAGGGGCAACACAATAATCACTGCTACATCATCAGGACCCAGGGCAGCAGTACCTACACACAGCAGGCACTCCATATGTTTGCTGAATAAAGCAGAAGGCCAATTAAAGCCAGAATGAGACTGAATCAAAACTCGTGGGCCCAGTCTATGAGTGGGCTCCTAACTTTCTCCAAACCAGGGGTGGAGTGTTTCCTGAATCAAAGATGGTCAGTGGGAAAGGAAGAGTTATTGGTAGGCTTCAGATCATCAGAGACCCTGCCTGTGAGGAACCTCATCACACCACAATTTTATGTTTATTTCACCCCAAAAGATTGGCAATTGCTGTCCCGGGTTCCGTTATCTCCCCCTACATTTTTAGAAGCAACAGGATCACAAAATGACATCTCAGGCAATTGACTTCCAGAAATCCCCTTTCAAGAGGCCTGGGAACAATTTTCAGAGACAGCACTCCACTCAGCCAATGCAACCTGGCCTAGCTGAAAGGGAGCACCTATTAAGAAATCCATCCCACAGACGGGAAAGTAAAGTCAAAGACAGTTCCACTATCTTCCTTCATGTTATTCCTGACTCAAAAAACTAAAAGATGGACGGAGCTATTTTTAAAGGGGGGAGATTGAAAAAGCACCAAGATCGACCTCACGATCCAAGGAGCTCATCCCTAGAACACTTTCGTGTGGCCGGGAGAAACTCTCTGGCTCTGCAAAGGTCAAGGGAAAAATCATTCACAGAATGCAAATCTCATTTCTCCCCTACCAAGAGGAAATAAGCAAAAAATGGGTTTTACAAAGGGCTCCGGAATCCTTAAGGACGAGTTTAACTTCAGCTCTCCGAGTGAGGCCGGAGGACACTCCCTCAAAACCTTTGAGTTTTCAAGGATAAAGGGAGAGGCTTAAAAAAAAAAAAAAAAAAAAAAAGACAGCGAGGGAGCGGGAGAGAGTCAGGATATGCTCGTTCTATTTTTAAACCCCCGCCCACAGCTTAGAGTAAAGGAACACTCTGATGCTGTCCTCCCACCCCTGTCACCTTCTGCTCAACACAAGAAGCAGAACCCGCACGCGTTCACCGCCCGGGGTCACTGGCTGCGAACGCTCCCCAGAAGCGCGAGCTCCCCAGCCGCGGCGCCCAGCCCTTTCTTTCCTGGCAGCGCCGGCGCCTTTCGGAGAACCCGGCGGCCCGGGCAGCCGGGCGCGCACAGAGCGGGGCGGTCCCCAGCCGCCCTCCGCCGAGGGGAGGCGGCGCCCCCCGGCGGGGCACGTTCCGCTTCCCCGGCCGGGTACCCCGGGGTGAGAAGCGTTCCCCCGAGGGGGCCGGAGCGGCGGGCGCGAGGGGGCTTCCCAACGGGGTGCGCGGCGCGCCAGGCACCGGCGTCCGACTCCCGGGACACCTGTGTCCGCGCACACCCAGCCGCGGGGCCCCGGAGCGCCGCCCGCCCTCGGCCACCGCCCGCCAGCCCCGAACGCCAACGGGGGGCTCCGGGGCGCCTGCCTCGTCGACGGCTGCTCGCTCGCCCCCGCCCGGCCCCGGCGCGCCCGCCGGCAGCGTCCACGGCCGTCGCCCGGGACCCCGACGCCCGACGCCCGACGGCCCTCCCGCCTCAGGGTCGCGTCCCCGCCGGGCTCGGGACACTCACTCTTGAGCGCGCTGATGAGTGACTTCCCGTCCTTGATGAGCTCCTTGATGAATTTGTTGGTCTTGTCCAGCTCCGCTTCGTGCGACTTGAGCGTCTCTCGGAAGTGCGGGCTGTCGAGGCAGCAGTCGCTGAATTCCAGCGCGGGGAGCCCCATCGCGCCCGCGTCGCCCAGCCGGGGGGCGCGCCTGCCCCAGCGCCCGGGAGGCCCGCAGCCCCGAGCACGCCCGCGGCGGGACCCCGGCCGGGACGCCCGACGCCCGCCGGCTCCACAGGTGTGGCCCCGGCTCGCCCTCCGCGCGGTGTCCGCCGGCGCGCACGACTGCCGACCCGAGCGGGGTCCCGGCCGAGGGACGGCTGCTCCGGCGGCGCGCCACGGAGCGGCTGGCGGGCAGGAAGCGCGGCGACCGACCCGCAGCGGCGCCGGGAAGCGAGCGAGCAGGCGGGCGAGCGCGGCCGCCGCCTCCCCGCCTCCTTCGCCCGATCGCTCGCCAGCAGCCTCGAGCGCCCTCTCACAGCAGCCTCGGCCGCCCCGCCGGCGTCCGGGCCGCTCGAACCTGCTAGCGATGACCTAATCCCAGGCGGACCAATCAGCACGCTCGCCTCAGCCCGACCCCCCTGCCTCCCGGGGACACCCGGCCCTTCCGCGGCCTCGACCCAATCAGCGGGGTGCGGAGGCGGGGCCTGGGCCGGGGGCGGGCCCACGCCACCGCCTAGGTCCGCAACACAGGCTCCGCCCCCTCCCGCCCGCGCGGTGTTGCAGACCCGGTGCGGAAGGGGTGATCGCTGCGATGCGCCGACGCTTCCCACTCCCGATCTTGCGGACCTGCTGCGGCCGGGATCCGAACCGAAGGTGCTGCTTCTGCAGGTCTGGGAAGCGGAGGACCCTCAATGTGCCTAGCATGAAACGGGGCTGCAGTTCCCCCTGAACCCGCCCTGCAGGGCTGGGCAATCGAGCTTTCACTCGAAATGCAGCTCCCTAGCCTGGGAGAACCTCGAGCGCAGCGGACCACCATGTCCACCCTTTTCACCCGCTCCGCATTCCAGTCAAGCAGAAAATGTTTGTATTTTTAAATTACCAGTTCTTCTTGCCCGCAATCTTCCCGCCCCCTCATGGCCACTCCTGCTCAAAACCCGCCCACGGCTGCCCCCCCCGGCCAAAGGCTCTAACATCCTTACGAGAATTTCAGCTGCCTGTTGTTTTCCTGTTGGGCATCTAGCACAATTTTACATAATTACCTCCTGCCTGTCGTCCTTTGATACCCTGTGAGCTTCACGAGGGCACAGACCACTGCAGTTTTCTTGTGCGCTGCTGCATTCCTGCTACCTAGGCCAGTGGCTTGCATTTGGTTAACAGATACTGAGAGCTTACCATGTGCTACATGTGCCATTCGTGCTCCGGTGACTGACAAATGTGGACTAAATTAAATCTTTCCCCACCTCCCACCCCCAGTGCGCTGCCCTGTCCTCCCTCTGTTCCACTACTGGAATTCATTCAGGCAGCTCACTTAACTGCACTGGTCAGGCTGGATCCCACAGTGTCTAGTGCTAAATTGGGAACTCCTAGAGCATAGGGACTGTCCCTGAATAAATTTTTGTGTGTCCAGGAGCTAGGAGCCTTTCAGTTAAGGTTTTTTTGTTTTTTTTTTTTTTTTTTTTTGGTTTGTTCTTTTTTTTTTTTTTAATAGATCTGCTATGTGCAGGCATTAAACTAGATGCTACCGATACTAATGAATAGCACAGAATGGACTTAATTGCTGCTAGTGGATGGGAGAGACAGGAGAAGAGCATTAGGGCTGCCTGGTGAGACAGGAGAAGGCCTGGGTGCTTAAAAACATGGGGAAAAGGTTGCCAACTCTGGGGCCAGAAGAGGCATCTACGTTGAGAAATCAATTGCCTGGTTTATTGAATACATAAATGAATGAGTGAGTATGATCTGTTTGCTGCTGTATCTACAAATTTAGACTTGAGAGCAGGCCCAAACAGCTGTGGGACAGATAATTAAAATCCTGAAAATAGTTGCTCCTCAATTGCCAAGAATGAGAAAGATCTGCTTAATACCGTATCTTGAGCACTTAAAAGGTAGGTTCTCTATTGATACATAACAAATCACACCAAAACTTAATAGTCTAAAACAACAACAATCTTTTTATATTCTCTCCTGGTCTCTGTGGAAGAGCTTAACTCGGTAGTTCCAGCTTAGGAGTCTCTCCTGTGTTCCAGTCAGTGACAGGTGCTGGAGCAGGGGTGGTTAGCTGAGCATCTCCCTCTTCTTGGGTGGGCCCGAGGCTTCTCTGCTGTGTGCCCTACTTTGGGCTTCCTCCTTGCATGGCAGCTTCAGGACTCTACTGTGAATGCCCCATCTCACAAGGCAAAAGCTGCACCACCGTTTATGGCTTAACCTTAGAAGTCACAAATTTCTTCATTAGCTACAAGCAAGTCACAATCCCACGCAGATGCAAAGAGAAGGGAATTAGACTGTACCTCTAGGTGGGGAAGTGACAAGAACGGGAGATACTGTTGCAGCCATGTCTGGAAAATACTGTAAAAAAACAGTGGGCCTGGCACATGATACTCAATCAGTGTTGAATGAATGAAACAAACGGGGGGGGGGGGGGCACAATGATTCATATTCTTCCATTGCAGAATATTGGGGCAATTGTGTATAAAGTAAAATAAATGTATTAATAATAACATTGGCTATCATCTGTGCCAGACATAAAGTAGAGCTAAATTACTTACATGCATTTAATCCCTACCAGGTAATATTGGTACCATGATAATACCCACTTTTCAAATGAGAAATTGAGGCCCATAATTGGAACTTAAGCCAGGTTACTTAGCTAAGAAGTGTGTGTGACACATACATATATGCCCATTTACAAATATGTGTGGATAACATTTCATTTCTTATTAATTTAACCCAGAATTTCCATAAACACTTCCCACACTTCAGGCAACACTATCAGAAAAAGAGAATCAGAATGCAGTAGTATCAAGGACAGAAACTGGCACATGGAAGGTGCAGTTATCTCTCACGTCCTCGAAAATAAACTCCATGAGGTAGAGGTTTTGTGTTGTCTGCTGCTACAGCCCCAGCTCTTAGAATAGCAACAGGTACTTAAGAGGTGCACAATGCCAACAGGAGGGACTCAAGTTTAATAAGGAAGAAACAGCACCTCATGTGACAACATAGCTATGAATGCAGATAAAACAAAAATCACTTTCAAACAAAATAGAGAAATAATTTAGGCCAAATAATTTGACCCAATTTCCTTGGAATATGTCTCAATTCCTTCAAATTAGTCAAACACTAAATCTAAATGGTTCTACTTTCAGTAACACAATATACATTGTAAATCCATATTATCTCTGACTTCAGTTGTCCAGTTAATTTTACATCTGCCACACAATGACCTTCCATTTGTAGAAAACTGGAAAGCATTCTCATTTCTCATAATGCTATCTCTGACCCACATACGCAGAGGTGAGCATGGTTCCTGAACACAAACTGAAGAACAGGGCTGGTCCATGATGAAGGTTCTTAGGCCCTCATGTAACTAAGGACCAGAAATAGATGTAGCCTCAGGAGACTTGGATGATGATGTGAGCACCAGACTTCTCTCTCCACCCCACAAGCTGACCTTCCTCTATGGTGCTCTCTGCTCCTCCAAACTTATATCCAGCAATATTAGCAGTAACAGAAGTGTTTTCTCCCCAAGAATTACAGCAGAAATTACAAGACTGAAGCCATAGGTTAAATAGCCCTGCTCCTAAAACATCAAGCACTGGGGAGGAGTTGTTTCCCCCAAAGGACAAACTCCTGTTGACAGGAAAAGAGGGAATTAATGCTAAATAGGCAGAAGCAATAATAAGCAGTATGTCTGACCAGTTAGTTCCCGAACGCCCTCAAAATGAATGCTCCTTCTGCTATATTTCCATGGTTTTGTAATTCTAGTTAGCACATACTCTTTCTTTTTTATAGTCAATGCCATATGATGCTTTACACAGTGACTTCGCCTTTGTATTATTACTGGATAAGGCATCCATTTTCCATTTTTAAAATGACAATTTGGGGATGATGTTGTAAATAAATTCTATATCACAATCGTGGTGATGGTTACACAGGTGTCAACATTAGTCAAAATTTATGGGTGCATCTTATTGTGTCTAAGTTACAGCTCAATAAAGTTGCTTTTAAGAAGTAATAATGATGGTAGTGATAGTAATGATACTTATTGAGCTTTATCTCTGTAGTAGGATCTGTGTTAAGTTTTTTATTACATTTCCAGCCTTTACTAAAATTTGGGAAATAGGTACTGTTAACCATCCCTATTTTACGGATAAAGTAACTAAGGATTAGAGAAGTAAGGTGCCTAAGGTTAGCAGTAGAATTAAGCTAAGAATTCAAATCTATCTGTCTTAAATAACTATCTGCCTATACGATATCTATAAGAAAGAGATTTTATATATCTAAAAAATTAATAATAGCCAAGCCTAAAATTGGAGTAAGATCACCCAAATGGGGATGCCGGGGTGGCTCAGTGGTTGAGCATCTGCCTTCAGCTTGGTCGTGATCCCAGAGTCCTGGGATCAAGTCCCACATTGGGATCTCTGTGAGGAGTCTGCTTATCCTTCTGCCTATGTCTCTGCCTCTCTCTCTGTGTCTCTCATGAATAAATAAATTTTATTAAAAAAAAAAAGATAATCCATGAATGAAAGGGGAGGTATCTCACCCTGAAATGTATGTTTTTTTCCCAGGACCATTTGCTGGTATGCCCCCAGTATATCAGTAACTATACAAGCCTCTAATATGTTTTGGCTTTAAATCCAACGCCCTAAAATAATAATAATGATAATAATAAATAAATAATAAATAAATAAATAAATAAATCCAACGCCCTACCATTAGTGTAAAAGCAACTGACTGAAAGACATGAAATCCTCATTTTCCTTGAAAGAAGAAAGAGTAATCTATCCCTCTAAATCCAATGGTTTGTGGTTCTGTGGGGGAGGTGGCAGCACTTAATTAACATTCCTTGGCTCAAGAAATTAATGAAATTCATATTACTTGTAGTATACAGGTCTGTTTTATATGTTATCCACATTTTTCATCCCTGCTACTTTTTAATGTAATGTCCTTTCCTTACTCATTTGTTGAGAAAGTACCTACATATTATCATTTACTGCATACCAGATACTCTCCTAAACACTTTACAAAAAATAGTTCAGTTAATGTCTTCAGAACCCCATTATCATCTTATCTCCATTTTATAGTGAGGAAACTGAAAATGACAAACCTAAAGTCATAATCACTGAGCAGCAGAGCTGAGATTCTTTTTTTTTTTTTTTTTTTTTTAGAGCTGAGATTCTAACCCCAGACTAGCCTAATTCCAGACTTAGGCTATGTTACTAATAGAACCCCCAAGTGCGCAGCTAAAGAATTCAGTTCTGGG